TCTATCTATCTATCTATCTATCTATCTATCTATCTATCTATCTATCTATCTATCTATCTACCTACCTACCTATCTATCTATCTATCTATCTATCTATCTATCTATCTATCCATATATATGTGTGTATATACATATGTATATCAGCCCATATATTCATACCCTGTTTGTGTCTCCCGCCTCTTTCTCCTTAGGCTACCCTTGGGCCTAATGAGTAGACTTGGATAAGAAGACAATACAATTCCTAAAAGTGAGCTTGAGAAATCTGGACAGAAAATTTGGGGTCCCGGATTCTTAGAATATGAACTAGAAGGGATAGGGTCCTAATGAGCATAGCTCTGACTCCACAGATATGTGCTTTGTGAGGATGGGCTTCTGAAATTTGGAGCCCAGGCCTCTGTTCCCTGGTACAGTCCATGATATTGTGATTTAAAATCAACTGAGCCCCAAGATCCTCTTTCTTTGGCCTCCTTAGCTAGGTCCTGCTTTGCAGAAAGTAGGGATGTCTCATGGGGTAAGATCTTTAGAATCTGTGGCCAGTGAAGAATGCACCTTTAACTTCAAACCCTGCTGAACAAACATACTGATCCTCAGGCTACCCATAAGGGTATTTCATTCACAATTCTTTTGGCATACTGATCTTTACTTCTGAATAGCTTTCTTAAAAAAATGTGCATTGGGGGTTGGAGAGATGGCTCAGCAGTTAAAAGCACTGGCTGCTTTTCTGGAGGACCTGGGTTCAATTTCCAGCTCACAACTGCCCATGTCTGTAACTCCTGTTTCAGGAGGTCTCACAGAGATATGCAGCCAAAACAACAATACACATAAAAATAAATTATTTTTTAAAAATTGTAAATTGAATCCATTTTTACATTAGAAAATCTAGGAAACCTTGGAAAAGGAGAGGAAAAGATGTGCATAAATACAACACAGAGGTAGCAACAACTCTGAACAGTTGCTCTATTTCTCTCATTCTCTGTATTTCTTCCTATAGCAGAAATGATTTTGCACTGTATGATTTTTATTGATTTTTCTTTTACATATCTCCTCATGTAACTGCACATTCTTCATTATCATTATTTTGATTTGTCATGATGTAGCTAACCATCCCCTGAGTGTAGAGAATGGAAACAGGTATATTTTTCCATTGGTTTAAATTGTATTTAAGCAGACTTTTGTTAATACAGCTTTAAAGCAACTCACAGCTTTTAGAAAATTGACCTTATATAGGAACAATTGCACCCAACTTATTTCTCTTTCTAGACAATCATTTCCTCTAGCGATATCTATAGTCATTCATTCATTCCATTGGCACATATTCACTCTGTACTTCTATGAGACAGATCCCAAGCTAGGGCTATGGGAAGAAATGAGGCATAGCTCAAGACCACCAGAAGATGGGTGTCAGTCATGCTTGAAATAGGCAATTTCAAAACATTCTGATTATGGTTGAGAGAGAAGGAAGAAGGAGATATTATGGGATAACAGAAAAGGATATCCTTAACGCACCCTATGGACATGAACATAAACTCTTTGGAGGTTATGGTGCCTACATGAGTCTTGGAAGATAAGCAAGAGTTGGCTAGAATAAAAAAAAAGTTCACTTAAACACAATGAGTTGATTAAACTGATTTGTCTCTGTTACTTCCCAAATTCTACCAAAATGTGAGAAAAAAAAAAAAGAAGACAAAGTCCAGGATGCTGATCAGAAGTATACCATTCCACTTATAGAACCCCCTCGGTGCTCAGGATTTGGAGGTACTGTACACCTCAGAAGGCAGAGTGAGGTATAAAGCTAAAAATAGTGGATTGCAACGCTGTCCTCAATGCTGTCCAGTCAGATTCTCTCCACCTCCAGCACCATCCCGGCAACCGGAGGTTTTGCATTTGCGAACACCAGGTGCAGTGGCAGATGGGGTGAAACAGAGCTAAAAGCAAAGGGATCTTTCCTGGAAAATGATGGTACCCTAACTTCCTGCTTCCAACAGCAAAGTTGGGTGCA